TTCCATTCCAATACTTTATTTTAATTGTACGTATCTTTCTGTTTCAAGTATGCTTCTTGTAAACAACATGTTGTTTGATTCTCATTCCTAATCCAGTCTCCTCTCCTCTTCCATTTTATAGGTGAGTTCATCCCATTCATGTTCGTAGTTTTGATTACTAACTCTGTATTTCTATTTTTTTCTCTTATACTTTTCTTTCTTGTTCCCTTTTTAAGAGTCTGTTTTGATTCTGACAGCTGCCTTCCTTAATCTACCCTCCCTCTTATTCTTCCCCTTCTGCTTCTTTTCTCTTAATCTCTTTCTGCATTTCTTCTCTGTTGGTTAAGATGAATTTCTGTGCCCAACTGTACATGCATGTGTATTATTTTCTCTTTTAACCAGTTCAGATGAAAGTAAAGTTCAAGTGCCTTCCTCCCGTACCACAGCCCCCTCCATTGTATAACTCTACATTGTATACCCCATTTATGTGAGATAATTTTCTCTATTCTTTCGCTCCTTTCCCTCTCCCCCCACCTCAGTGCATTCTTCTATCTCACCCATCTATTTCTTTTTTGAGATCATCCAAATATAATAGAATCAAACTGAGGCCTCTAAGACCTCTGATGATGATAAATAGTTTTAACCTTGTGTTTATTATATTTCTCTTGGGTATTATGTTTGAATGTCAGATTTTCTGCTTGACTCTGGTCTTTTATTAAGGCATGCTTGAAAATACTACCTCTTTCATTAAAGGCCAATTTCTCCCACCTGTAGTATTATACTCAGTCTTGCTGAGTTGGTTATATTTGGTTGTAACTCTAGATCTTTTGCCTTCTGCAACATCCTGTTTCAATTTCTCTGTTTCTTTATGGTGGTAGCTGCTAAATCTCAGAAGATCTTGTCTGTGGCTCCTTGATTCTTGAATTCTTTCTTTCTGGCTACTTGCAATATTTTTTCTTTAACCTAGGACCTCTGGAGTTTGACTATAATATTCTGGAGAGTTTACCTTTTGGAATTTCTTTTAGAAAGTGATTGGTAGATTCTTTAAATTTCTACTTTGCCCTCTGGTTCTAAGACATCTGGGCATATCTATTTTTTAAAGGATTTTTTGAAATATGTCTAGACACTTTTTTGTTTATTGCTTCCAGGTAGTCCAATGATTTTAAAATTATCTCTTCTCAATTTATTTTCCAAGTCAGTTGTTTATTTGATGAGATATTTCAAATTTTCAATTTTTTCAAGTCTTGAGTTTTTAAACATTTCTTAATGTCATATGGCATCATTAGCTTCCATTTGGCCAATTCTAATTTTTAGGGAGTTTTTTTCCTTCTGTAGGGTTTTGTACCTCTTTTATTAAGCGTTAATTCTTTTTTTAATAACTTTTTTGCATAGTTCTCATTTCTTTTCCCATGTTTTTTCCCTTACTACTCTCATTTGGTTTTAAAAATCATTCATTTTCTCTCTTTTTTTTTTAACTCTTTAACTCTTCTAGTTGAGTGAGATTGAGACCACTTACCCAAATAAAAACTCAGAGGTTTCTCCAGGTAGAAAACAGAAGTTTTATTCTAGCAAGTCTCACGTGAGAGTTGGGCATCACCTACCCAGGGCTGAGTGGAGTAGTGAGGCAAGATACAACAGCAAGCAACCAGTTATATACCCTTAGACAAACCACTCCAAGAAACCCCTCTCCCCACTTGTTTACCTCAATCTCTTTATAGTCATTGGTTGAGGCAAGAGACCTTACAATCTATATTTAGAACCCAAGAGATACATTTTACCCAAACCAAGCTGGGAAGCTAGAACATTGCCTTATTTGGTAAGGATAAGGCTGGGGTGATGGTTACAAAACAAGGGAAGGGGTGGGCAGCTGGTGTATGACCCTATTATATGACTTACAGGAAAACGAAACTTAGGCCCAGCTAATGCTAAAGCCTTAACTAAATTTTGGGGGCATAGCTTCCATTTCGTAGGAGAAACTTTCACTTGTCTCACACATAGTTATCCTTGCAGGGATTGTACATAATGAGCATTTTCCTTTGAGGTTTTGCTTGTAGTTGTTTTCAAGTCATTGTCTTTTGTATTTGTGTCTTGAGCTTCCCTATGACCATAATATCTCCTTATAGTTGGCTCCTTTTTTTGTTTACTTATTCTTCCAGCCTACTTCTTGCCTTTGGATTTTATGTTAGTTTTGCTGTGTACCTTAGGAGGCGGGAGGGATGTCTGGCCTGAGCTTCAGTGCTTTTATATCCAGCTTCCTTCATTGCTCTGGTTGGGGGCCTGCAAGTTTTCAGTGCTCCCAAAGTAGAATGATAAGGTCTGTAAGATCTGTTAAGTGCCCTCCTGGTCTGAGCTCTGCAAGTTCCTGAGTTCGAGTCTATTGGCTTTTGTATAAATTTTAGTAGACTGCAGTTACTGTTGTTAGTCTTCTGGTAGGTTTAGAGTGATTGAACTGCTGGCTCTCCTTTTGTATGGGACTTCAGCCCTAGTTATTCCATTGCAGGCTTAGACACTGAACTGAAAGCTAGAACTGACTCCCTGCTGTGTGGCTTCTGGACTTAGAGCCACACAGCTACGTTTCTGGAACTTGTGCCATGCTTCGTATTCCGGTAGGCCTGCATTTGTTTGGGACCGATTCTATCTGATCTAGATCTGTGTCCAGTAAGTGGGTAATGGGAGACAGACCTGCCAGATGATCCTCGTTCCTGCTCTTAGCACTAGTTCCGGGACCTTCTAGGATCTCTTTCTACCTCAGTGTTTCTTACCCTGGTGCTCTGTCTCAGTTCCTTTTATGGTTTTGGGTGCTGAAATACTCCCCCAGTGGTGCCTTTGCCTCAGAGTTGGCAAACCTCTCTGTCTCCTTAAGCTGCCGTGGGCTCTAAAAATAACTCACAATGACTTTTTTTTGGGCATTTTCAATCAGAATTAAGCTTGGTGCATTTTCTAGATTGTTCTGTAGGAAGTGTATTGTGTGAGCTAGCAAAAATTCTGCCATCTTGACTCTACCTTATTATTTTCTTAAGATCAACATCATATAATAGGACCACACCCAGCCCTTGTCCAGTTGGACTCCCTTTATGAACCCTAATGATGAGGGATCAGAGGAGACACATGTATCATCTCCCCATATTTGAATATAAGCAGTTTATCTTTGTTTAATACCCATTGTTTAGACATGTTTACCTTTTAATGTTTCATTTCATTCCTATGTACTTCACAGTTTCTCCACATCTCTGGTCTTTTCATTAGGAATGACTGGAAGTCCTCTATTTAATTAAAGATCCATTTTTACCCTATAGCATTTTACTTAGTTTTGCTGGGTAAGTTATTCCTGGCTGAAAGCCCATATCCTTTGCTTTCTGGAATATCTTATTCCAGTTCTTTGCTTCTTTATAGTGGTAGTTGCTTAATTGTATGATCCTGACTATGGCTTTTCAGTACTTTAATTCTTTCTTTTTGTTGGCTTACCCTATTTTTTCTTTGACCTGGAAGTTCTGGATTTTCACTTTGGTGTTCCCAGGAGTTTTCATTTGGATTTTTTTGGGGAGCAAGGGTGGTGGGAGGTGATTGGTGGTTTCTTTCTATTTCCATTTTGCCTTATGGTTCCTCATAAGAAATCTGGGCTGTTTTATGTTTCTTAAAATTTGATGTCTATGGGGATCATGGTGTGTGCTACAGTTACCCAAAAATAACACTCAGAGATTTTCTAGATATAAAGTGAAAGATTTATTACAGTTCTCGTGAAAAACGGGTGTCTGCTTCCTCCGGCAGTCTGAGTGAAGTGAGGCGGGACACAAAGGTCAGAACAAAGGTTATATAGTCCTAATGCAGAGACACCTACCCACCACTGGCTGTAAATTCCCATTGGACAGGCATTTCAGCCTTACAATCTAAAATGCGAAAATCTACCCCAGAAACAAGGAATCTCATTATAATACTATCAGTCCTAGCTATTTTATCCTTATTTAGCATTAGCCATTACCTAGTACTAATGTAACAGTACAGATCATGTGTTTTCTAGGAACTTGAAACTTGGGCCTATTCAGGCTAGAGTAACCAACCTTGAGTTTGTAACAGTCTACAAAACTGTTACACTCAGTCCATCTGAGAGATCTCACACTGTTTACATTGTCTCACTCAGTCCCTCCACTTTTATCTTACTGAGATCTCTTCAAAATTTTGTAACATCATCTCACACACTTTATCTAACTCTCCTTCATTCCTCTCAGGATCATCCTGTTCTGTCTCTGCCATAGGTACCCAACCCTGTCCCTGCAAAAGCAACATTCTAGTATTATCAGAAGCAGTAGTAATTTTAGCAATGCTATCTTTTACTAACTTAGTAACTAACTGAATTATACAAGGTATGCATATAGAAAGTAAAATAATCCCACTAAAAGCTATTAGCACAAATCACAGGAGTTGTTTCCACCAACTACCCCCAAACCAGGACCACCAAGTGGTGTTAAAGGGAGTTGGCCATGTTTGAACTGGGACATCAGCCAATTTTCTAATTTCTTTGTTAATATTTTTGACTGCCTGTCCTACATCATCTAGTTTTATACAACATATTGACAACTTCAATTTCCCACGTACACCTCCTGCTTCAGCTAACAAATAATCCAGTACTAGTCTATGTTGCAGAATAGCCTTCTGGCTCTGCTCGGCATAAGTTGCAAGTAAATCCGTAGTTTTGGTAGTCTGATTAGTTATAATTTCTACAACAGCCTGTAACCTAATTAATCTATTTAAGAAATAAATCAGGGTCCTGTATCCCCAACTTCCATCTTGTGCCCAGGTTGCTGGTCCATATTCTTTTATTATCCTTTCCGGGGGCCAACCATCCCCCCAACTGTTAGCATTTCCTGTAGATGCTATTGATGAATCAATTGACCTCCGATCTCTTTCAAGGTCATCATATAGTTGTATCCCTAACTGCTTCCCTTCTTGTCCTGGTAAGAACAATTTCCAGTCCAATCTGTTGGAAGGTGTGTATAAGCAGTTAAACCACATATCCAATAATGGCCTTTTAAAGCTGGTTGTTTTTTTAATGAAAATTCAACTCACATTTCCTTTTGATGGATAATATTGAATATCCCTCTCTCCCAGTGATCCCCCTCGGAACCATATATGGTCCCCATCTTTATAAATACATTTCCATAGCTGTTTATTTTTTTTCCAATTACAATTTTCCACCCCTGGATCTGCATTAGTATGATCCTCCTTTCTCCAAAATTTCCTAAAATATCCAGACCATGTTTGATTTCTCCATGCCCAATCATAATAAGGAAGCCTCAGTTTCCCATTAATACTATTTTCATCTTTACATAGATTTGGTCGCTGTAAGTCACCAATTTCCTGGGAAAGATTACAGCTTAAATGAGGATTTCCTCCTGCCAATACATATCTGCAAGTTGTGCGGTAATTAGTACCAGTAAGGTACCTTGCACTCTTACATGATATCCATGTCCCATTAGTGCATTTAATATGAGTGGCATTTCATCTACCTTGATATAGGGAACAGTCAACTTCAAAGTAACCAATCTGGCAGGAATAAGTATACTCACATGTACTCATCCCCAATTGCTTTCCCCTACCCTTTTGATTAATATAATACTTCCCTTTAATTGATTCAACTAGGGGCCAGGAATGTTCTTCAGTCTCAGCCCAAAAACCTGTTTGATTATTAACCTCTGATCTGTTACTTAAGATCCAGGCTGGACTTAAGGACACAGGTACCCATGGCCATTGTTCAGGCTGTTGAGGCCCCCCACAAATCCAACAGTTCTTAAGGTTAAATATTTCCCCTACTTTTGCATAAGTTGTATAAATTGATTCTCTTGTGGAAACAGTACAGGGATAGGTACAGCAGTAACAGTCACTATAAGAAATGAAAGAAGATTAAGGATCATGATAAGGGCCCATAGGAGGCAGTCTCCTTCATAGATATAGTCTGAGGTCCTCTCATTTTTCAGCAGTCCATTCAGATGAAGGAGGCGCCACTGGTCCTTTTACTCTGGTGTGATGGGTCCAACCCCACTCCTGGGTGTGAACTGCAGTATCAGACGTTAAAAGTACCTGAAAGGGCCCATCCCAATTCGGGGTTAATTTTTCATCTTTCCAAAATCGAACATATACCCAATTACCTACTTGTAGTTTATGAACAGGAAACCCTAGAGGGGGAGTTTGAGCAATTAGTCCCTTTAAAATTCAAGAAGTCTTTTCCTATACAGCTGTCTGGCAGGGGATATTGTCAATGAAGTCATCTGGTCCTTAGTGTTTGTTCCAGCCATCTCCAGCACAGCATCTCAGCATCTTGTCTTCTTGTAGGAACCAGCTTTCTGACCATTCTCCTGCAAAAGTGACTTTAGCACAATTTTAAATTAACATTTCTAATCCTTATAACCCTGATCATTTTACAAACTCAAAATTGGAACCATGGTCAATTGTCATGTTTAAGAAATTCACCTGAGAACCCAGTGTCTTATACTTTACATCAATCCATTATTAATTTCCTCACCAGGAGGATGAGATTTCGCTAAGGGGTTAATAACAGGCTCTAGTACATGCATAAATATATTAAATAATCAATTTTAACACAGTATACATATAAAATCTTAAACTTTTAATCATGCCATGTTTCTTTGATGGCATTTACAAAATAAACCTGTCTCCATACCATTACCAAGAATTAAAGGACCCTAACTCATATAGGAACACACACAGGAACACTAGTCCCAGTTCTATAGTAATCTAAGATGTTCCATAATCAATTATTTTAGCAACTTTGTTACTGTACTTACAAAATCTTCTGATTATAGAAACTTACTACAGAAGGAAAAAGAACAGTGACATGTGATATATCAAATATAACAAGATAAAATATTCTTAACTTTGTTTAAATTCAGATAGAGTCACAGTTCTCCAATCATGCAGTATTTGTTTAATGCAGACAACTATATCAAATTCAAACTCAAAACAAAATTAGTTATAGTCCCAAGAGCCTTTTACTTCAAACAGCAAGTCTCACTAATCACAGCTTAAAGCCAGATACAGTTAATTTTGCTCTCATAGAGTTGCAGTAAGCAATAAAGGTTTACCAGGACTCACATACATAAGAGATTTCACTTAACATCTTTCCTTCTCAAATTTAAACTTGTCCTAATGTAAAAGCCAATCATTACAAATAATTTCTATACACTTGCAAATTCTCAGCAAGCTAAGTTCATTGTCCAGGAACTGCATAATCCTAACAAATTCTTTTCTCCTGGTTTCCAGGGACCTTGGCAAGTTCACAAAATAATGAGAATTGCCACGGCCCTCAGAGAGGGCTGATACTGGTGCCCTTGACTGGGCAGAACCAACCTGATAAGGCTGTACACTATCTCCTTCTTTCAACATACAGTAATTAATTAACCCTTTTAGGTTTTAGCATGAAAACAGTAACCCCAAATAGTTAACAATCTCATAAATTTCATAAATGATAGCAAAACAATTTTAACTAAAAAAATTTGGAAATTTTATGCTTTCTTAAATTACAATATTTGAAAGGAAATGTTACAAAACAAGATCATATAGAATGCCCCAACAGCCAAATTCATTCCTTTTTCTCTTTTCTCTGATTTCATAATTAATTTAACATTCCAGATTGTAAAAGAAATTGCCCTTCCAGCAACATAACTAATACAATTGCTTACTGGATTACATCACATAAGAAAATTCAGAAATATGTAAGCAGTATGTTAAAAACTTAAAAGAGACCCAATAAAAAAAATCTTTCTTTCTTTCTAGACCCCTTTACCAGGTCCAGCAGTCTCCTGGGGCCACTCCCAATCAAGGTTCTTCAAGGCCTAGACTTCCCCACAACCACTAATCCCTGCCTTAAGAGCCTGGCTCATACTACCCATCCCGGTTGTTAGCCTTGAGAAAGAACCTAACAACATTTTGATTATAAAAAAATTGCTTTTCTGACAACACAGATGATACAGTTGCTTACCAAATTATACAATAAAGGAAAATTTTAGAAATATAAACTAAAGTAAATAAAACTTTCTTGGGGCCACATAGTTAATAAATTTCTTAACGCCAAATAACAATATGTACTCTTAAAATTATACAAATATGCTTTTCTAAATTCAATACCCTTGGGCCTTTTATATATTTCTTCAATATTTCAGTTCCCCATTCATGCTCACATTTTCTTGCAAAAGGTTTACCAACAGTTTGGAATCGCCTATTGTAACATCTCGGGGCAGCTTAAAATGTACTGGGCCAGTATTCTAACTATTTCTTTTTGCTTTCCCTCCAGGTAGACACCTCTGGAGCTTAATAATTAATTGACTACTACACAGCTTTCTTTTTGAATTTCTGAAGGGAGATATTGAATAGGGCTCTCCCTCCCTCTCTCTCTTGCCAAACAGCTTTTACAACTTTAATATGCATTCTAAGCAATTCACTTGTCACACAATTTTCACTATATATTTTTTTCACTATATTTTTTTAGTTTCAATTTAATAACATTCAAATTATGAAAAACCACTTGACATAACAATACCAAAGTTTAACAATTTGCAGATTCTTACATTTTCCCAATTTATCTTAATACCAAACAATGTAATAAATTATGAACATCACAGTTCATTCAGCACAGCCTCTGGCTGCCCATAAATTACCTTTTGTTCCTTTTATGGTACACAAAAACTTTTCTCTTTTATATAAGGCAGGGAATGGTTAAAGACTTACTTAGCCTGCCTCCCTTTGATCTGAGCACCCTCCTTTCCCCCTTATCTCTCTCTCTTCCATCCACCTTAGGAAGAGAATATTTTCCAACAACTCCTCAAGAGTTTCCAAACCTTTTTACTTTCAAAACCTCTGTTCACACTGTGCAAATAAATTGTACCTTCCTTAAGCTTCCTACACATACTCCTCTCTCCTACTTGCTTAAACCTTCTTGCCTTCCTTCTACCTAATTATCCCTCTGATGGACTTTGATTAAAGTCCCTTTAAAACTGCACATACCTTGTTTCTTTCTAATTCTGACCTGACACTTTGAGGATCCTCTTCAACTTGCTTTTTACCAATCATATAACCCAAATAATAAAGAATATATTTTTTTCCCCATTCTATCCCCCATCCACCTGCTCCCAGGAATGCGGCTGGTATTAGGGAGGGGGGGAAGGGGAGAAAGTTACTAGCAGCATTTCAGAATCCAGTTGCAGCCCTTGGCTGCCTGGCAGTAAAGGATCAACAACTCAGAGACATTAATCACAGACCATCATTCACACACAGACAAACATAGAACAAAATGATAGGGAGAATCCAAAAGCGAGAAACTTGTCAGAAATCCCCTACCAATCATATAACCTAAACAATAAAGTATATATATTGTGTGTGTGTGTGTGTGTGTGTGTGTGTGTGTGTGTGTGTGTGTGTGTATATAGGGGGGTAGGGGGGGAAGCCAGAACCGCCAGCCCCTGAGGGGGTATTGCATGGGGGGGAGGAAGAGGTGACAGTGGATCCCACCCCTCCTGAGACATTACCTCCCCCTCCTTATTATCCTCTTTCTTCTTAGATTTATTTTCACACAAAAACATCCTGCTCCCTGGAAGCCATAAACCAGCATATATCACTTCCTCCGGGTCCACAGGATCCTTTTCATTCACAAATACATTTAATTTCTGGCACACCCAGTCTTCAGCCAAGTCGTAATAGGGCCAAATCGTGCCACCTCCAATATCTTTATTACCCCAAACAAAACAACAGTATCTAATCATTTTTTTTTACCTTTCCCTTTATATTTTGGCAACTCATTCCAATTACTTAATTTATTTCCCAAGGGACTATTTACTGGTATTCTTTTAATTTCAATCTCTGCGGAGGGCAGCTTGGACTGAGCCGGCCCATTTCAATATTGATGAACCCCCTGGTTCCGTACGCCCAATCACAGGGGAGTCGCCTCCACCTCTCAGTCACCCAAGAGCCTTCCTATCCGGGGCACCCCCTCCAGAGTCGGTAAATGCTTGACTCAAGGGTTCCCTAGGTGCTTACTTTGGGCCATGTGCACACAAGTTACCTGACTGCTCTGTCCACATGACGGTCGGGATTTGCCGCAGAGTCCTCTCCTTTACTTTCACTATACACCTAGTCTCTCCGCTTTGGGTCACTTCACCTGGTGGAAGGGGAAGAAATCCCAAGCTGCATGGGCTGCCTAAAATACAGGCAGGGCACGCCGCCCCAAGAGGCCCAGGACTCTGTCCTTCCACCTGGTCACGTTTTCCCGGCCAATGCACCAAATACTGTGTGCCACAGTTACCCAAAAATAACACTCAGAGATTTTCTAGGTATAAAATGAAAGATTTATTACAGTTCTCGCGAGAAACGGATGTCTGCTTCCTCCAGCAGTCCGAGTGAAGTGAGGGGAGACACAAAGGTCAGAACAAAGGTTATATAGTCCTAACGCAGACACACCTACCCACCACTGGCTGTAAATTTCCATTGGACAGGAATTTCAGCCTTACAATCTAAAATGCGAAAATCTACCCCAGAAACAAGGAATCTCATTATAATACTATCAGTCCTAGCTATTTTATCCTTATTTAGCATTAGCCATTACCTAGTACTAATGTAACAGTACAGATCATGTGTTTTCTAGGAACTTGAAACTTGGGCCTATTCAGGCTAGAGTAACCAACCTTGAGCTTGTAATAGTCTAAGAAACTGTTACACTCAGTCCATCTGAGAGATCTCACACTGTTTACATTGTCTCACTCAATGGTATTCAGATAGTCCAGGGATTCTTAAATATTTTTAACTTTATCTGTTTCTCAGGCCAGTTTTTGCTTTGAGGTGCCTTACATTGTCTTCTACTTTTTCAGCCTGTGTTGTCTTTGTTTTAATATTTCTTGTAGTCTTATGAAGTCATTGGCTTCTATCTGGTCCAATCTAATTTTGAGACAGTTTGTTGCTTGGGCAAGGTTTTGTATTTCTTCCGCCAGGCTGTTAATTCTTCCATGGCTCATTTCTTTTCCATTTCCCCCCCCACACACACAAGTGCTCTCATTTAATTTACAAAAATATTTTTTAACTCTTGCTTCATCTTTTCCAGGAATTCTAGTTGAGTTTGTGCCTAAGTTATGTTTCACACTGAGGAAATACTTAGAGATGTTTTGGAGTCATTCTCTTTTGCATTTGTGTCTTGAGCATACCTGCCACCATTAGGTGGGATTTTTTTTTAGTTTGCCCATTCTTCCTACTTCTTGACTTCAGACTTGATGTTAGGGCTAGGCTATGCAGTGCTTCTGGAGGGAAGGTCTGAACTGCTCTTGTTCCTGCTTCCTTGGGGTATTTCTACATCTGTGAGGAGGAGTTCATGGAGAGGAGCTCACTGCGTTGCTTCCTGTCATCTCACAATCTTTCATCTGCCCCTTCAATCTCATTTCAATAGCTGTGACATATTGCTTTCTATTCCTATATAAATTTTTTTATGGTATGACTTTTACATTTAAATCATTTATTTGTTTGAAATTTGCTGTAGTAGATGGTACAAGATGCTATAATAAAAATTTTTTTCACCTTAGTGAAAAGATTATTGGCTATTAAATCTGAGGACATGAATTTGAATTCCACCCCAATACATTTACTACCACCGTGACCTTGGGCAAGTCATTTCACCTCCCTGGGCCTCAGTTTCCTCATCTGTAAAATGAGAGGGTAGAACCTTTGAGGTTCCTTCCAGTTCTAGAGGCATAATCCTGAAAATACCCATCTGCTTTTAGTTTTCCTGGCAATTTCTTTCACAGTTTCTCTTAGATAGTAGTTTGTGTTCTTGGGTTAACAAATACTAGTCTGCTTGTGTACATTTGTTATGCTTATCTAATCTATTTCACAGATCTACTTATTTATTCCATGTTAAGTAGTTTTGCTAATGTCAATTCCCACCCTTGTACTTTTTCATTATTTCCCTATTTATTTCCCTCTCCCTCTCCCTCTAAGTTTCCCAATTATTATAATTGTCACTACCATTCCTCCAGACATTCAGGTTCACAGCTTCAGTGTCATTTTACTCAATTTATATATATCAAATCAGTTACCTAATGTAACAGTTTCTACATTCACTACATCTCTTTTATACATTCTGTTCTCCCTGTTTCCATAGCTACTATTCTGATTCAGGCCTCCTTGTCATCTCTCACCTGTTACTGTTGGAGTAATCTTCTAATTGGTTTCCTTGCCTCAAGTTTCTCCCTATTCCAATTCATCCTCCACTCAGCTACCAAAGTGATTTTCCTAAAGCATAGGTTTGAATGTACAAAAATATTCATAGCAGCTCTTTTTGTGGTGGCAAAAAATTGGAAATTGAGAGGATGCCCATCAATTGGGGAATGGCTGAGCAAGTTGTGGTATATGAATGTAATTGTGCTATAAGAAATGATGAACAGTCTGACTTCAGAAAAACCTGGAAAGACTTGTATGGTCTGATGCTGAGTGAAATGAGCAGAACCAAGAGAACGTTGTACACAATAACAGCCACCTTATGTGATGACTAATATTGATAAACTTAACCCTTCCCAGCAATACAAGGATCTAAAACATCTCCAGAGGCCTCGTGATGGAAAATGCTATCCTCATCCAAAGAAAGAACTATGGAAGTTGAATTGCTATTTTTTTCCCTCTTCTGTTGAATTTTGTTTCCTCTTTCTGATGGTTCCTCCTGTTGGTTTTAATTTTTACTTACAATACCACTAATGTGAAAATATGTTTAATAGGAATATAAATGTGTAGCCTATATCAGATTGTGTGCCATCTTGGGGAGGGTAATGGGGAGGAAGGGGGAGAAAAATTTTAGACTCAAAAGCATATGGAAGTGATTACTGATAAATCAAAATAAATTAATAAAAATTTTTTAAAAAGCATAGGTTTGACCATGTCGTACCTCTCCTCACCTCACTAAATAAACTCTAGAGTCTCCCTGTTAGTTCCAGATCAAATAGAAAAATTTCTCTCATTTGAAGGCCTTTCATACCTTTCCAGTATCCTTATACTTTATTCCTTTCCACATACTTTATAATCCACCTACATAGATCCTTGGAACAAAGCACACTATCTTCCATTTTCATGCCTTTTTTGTACTGCTGTCCTGAAGCCTGAATGATATTCTTTCTGAAATTTTCACTTCTGAAATCTCCCTGAATGATCCCTCCATCCCTCTTAGAATCTCAGGCTTCCTTCAAGAATTCTGCTCAAATGCCACATTCTATAAGAGGCTTTTCCTAGTCCCCCCCAAGCTGCTAGAGCCATTCCCTCTAGCATTACCTTTCATCTATTCTGCATGTATCTTGAATGCATCTACTTCTTTTTAAAAAATAAGTTTTTATTGATATTTTCTGTTTCTTAAAATTACCGTAGAAAAGTCTAAAAACATGTGCAATGTGCAACACCTATGGATCTCCCAGTTCCACAGAAAGATAGGTAGGGGAATATCTTTTCATGTCACTTCATTTGAGGCCCACTTGACCTTTGTAATTTTGTTGCATTTACTTTTGGTTTTTTGGGGGTGTGTCTTTCTTTTCATGTACATTGTTGTAGTTACTATGTATATTGTTTTCTTGGCTTTGCTCACTTCACCCTGCTTCAGTTCACACAGATTTTTCCATGCTTCTTTGTATTTATCACACACATCATTTCTTACAGCGCAGTATTATTGCATTACATTCATGTATCACAATTTACTTAGACATTCCTCAACTGATAAGCATCTGTGTCCAGTTCTTAGCTCTCAAAAAAAACCTGCTGCTATAAATGTTTTGAAGTAGATAGAGACATTTAAAGATTATTGTTTCCTTGGGGTTTAAGCCTAATAATGGAGTCTCTGGTTCGAAGTGTTTGGAAACTTTAGTCATTTTTGTCGCTGGCGACTAAGTATTGCATCAAACGGAGGGGTGTAAAATGAGACATATGGGCCAGGTGGGTCGGAAAGACTGAGCCAATTGGTTATGTGAGGGTCCAGATTATATAGTGAAAGCTAACAATCATCTCTGAGGTGTCCTCACCATTCTTATGTGACTGACCCCAGCCCTTATGTACATCCTTAATTGTTCACACCTGCTTACCATCAAAGTCTAAGGGTCAGGGTGTTCTAAACTTTTAGGCACTAGAAAGTTGGTGAGCCAGAGGATCTGAATAATTAAGACCTTATGGGTAGGAAAAGGAAAAGAGACAAGCTCTAACCTAAATTCCTTATCCCATATTTCCAGTTCTGGCCCTCAACACACTTTATTTGCATAATTCCAAATAGCTTTCCAAAATGGTTACACCATTTCACAGCTCCACTAATGATGCATTAGTGTGCATATCTTCACCCCTCTCCAACAGTTATGGTCGCCATTTATTATCATTTTTCGCCAATTTGCAGATTGTAAGGTACATCCTCAGGCTTGTTTTGATTTGTATGTCTCTTATTATTAGTGATTTGGAATTTTTTTTATGTGGTTGTGAGTATTTGCCATTCTTTTTTTGAGAACTGTTTGTTCTTATTTTTTCACCATTTATTTGTTGGAGAATGACTATTAGTCTTGTACATATTTATTAATTATTTGTGTATCTTGGATACCAAACCCTTATCAGATAAATTTTACACAAAATTTTTTCCCATTTGATCACTTCCCTTCATATCCTAGATGCATTAATGTTGCCTGTGCAGAAGCTTTTCCTTTTCAAGTAATCAAAATTATCTATTTTATCTTTTTTCCTTCTATCTCTAGCTTGGTAGAATATATCTCTTACTCATAGCTGTGAAACATATAAGATGTTTTTCTTCCAACTTTTTAATAGTATAATTTTTAATATTAAAGTCACATACTCATTTAGAATGTATTGTGGTATGTGGTGTACGGTGTTGGTCTAATAATTTCTGCCTGACTGCTTTCCAGTTTTCCCAGCAGTTTTTATCGAATAAGGAGTTTTTTTCTTGGGTGACTTATGTTTTCCAGTTATTCAAACATTGGGTGATTGAGTTCTGTTGTTTCTGAATCTTGCTTGTCTAGTCTGTTCTTTTGATCAATGTCTCTTTTCTTTGTCTAGTATCACATGGTTTGGATGACCACTGCTTTATAATATAGTCTAGGTATGGAAGTGCTATTCCTATTTTATCCTTCTTTTCATCACTTCCTTCGGTATCCTAGATCATTTGTTTTTCCAAATGAATTTTGAAATTTTATCAAACTCTGTAAGGTATTCCCTTGGTAATCTGATTGATGTAGCATTAAAAGTGTACATTGATTTTGGCAATATTGTAAGTTTTATTATATTGTCATAGCCCAGCCATGAA